AGGTAGGTGGATCACAAGGTCAGGAGTTCAAGACCAGACTAACCAACTTGGTGAAATCCCGTCTCTACTAAAAATACAAAAATTAGCCGGGCATGGTGGCGTACACCTGTAATCCCAGCCACTCAGAAGACTGAGGCAGGAGAATTGCTTGAACCCAGGAGGTGGAGGTTGCAGTGAGCCAATATCATGCCATTGTACTCCAGCCTGGGCCATAGAGTAAGACTCCGTCTCAGGGGGAAAAAAAATCCTTGTAGGCCAGGCACAGTGGCTCACACCTGTAATCCCAGCACTTTGGGAGGCTGAGGCAGGTAGATCATTTGAGGTCAGAGTTCAAGACCAGCCTGGCCAACATGGCAAAACCCTGTCTCTACAGCTACCTCCTAGGGTCTTTGTAAGGATCAAACATCTAACAGGGCATCTGCTAACCTAATAATATGCCATTTAATTAAAAAATACAAAAAAATATAAAAATCAGCCAGGTATGGTGGCATGTCCCTGTAGTCCCAGCTACTCAGCAGGCTCAGGTGGTAGAATCACTTGAACCTGGGAGGCAGACGTTGCAGTGAACTGAGATCGCACCACTGCACTCCATCCTAGGCGACAGAGTGAGTGAGACCCTGTCTCAAAAAAAAAGAGAAAGAATCCTTTCATATCCTAATTTAAAAAGGAAGAAAAAGCACTTTAAGTTTGAATACAGACCAGTGGTTCTTAACTGGGGTGATTTCGTCCTTCTAGGAACATCTCGTGATATCTGAAGACATATTTAGTTGTCACATGTGGGCAGAGGGTCCTAGGCACTTAGTGCATAGTCTCTAGGAATGTTAAACATGCCACAGTGCACAGGACAGCTCCCACAGACTCACTCAGAGTATCTTGGCCCAAAATGTCAATAGTGCTGAGGTTGAAAACTGTTCTAATCTCATCTTTCCAGCTGTTTGCCTATAATCTCAACCTGATGGGCGTCTACTATTTCAAAGTGCATTTGAAACTGAACTCATACCCAAATAGCCTTCAACAGAAGAATGGATAAAATGTCTTCTGTTCATACAATGGACTATGATTCAGCCATAACAAGAAATGCAGTACTGATACAAACAGCAACATGCATGAACCTTTAAAACGTGATGCTGAGGGAAAGAAACCAGACACAAAAGGCCACATCATGTAGGATTCCACTTACATAAACGTCCAGAATAGGCAAATCCACAGAGACAGGAAGATTAGTGGTTGCCAGGGGCTAGAGGAAGGGGAGAATAGGGAGTGGCTGTCAAGGGTACAAGATTTGCATTTGGGATGATGACATTTTGGAACTAGATAGTGGGAGGACTCCACAACAGTACGCTGCATTCTGAATGTACTTAATGCCACTGAATTGTACACTTTAAAATGGTTACATGCTGGGCTTGGTAGCTCGCCTCTAAAAGTCCCAGTGCTTTGGAGGCTGAGGCAGGAGAATGGCTTGAACCCCAATGTTTGAGGTTACACTGAGCTGTGATCAGACTACTGCGCTCCAGCCTGGGCAACAGAGCAAGACCCTGTCTCTAAAAAAATAAATACATAAATACATAAAATAGTTACAACTGTCAATCTTACGGGATTTTTAAAAAAAAACCACAATAAAAACAAATTGAACTAGCTACTAGACAAGGACAACTTGGAGCTTTTCGAAACCAAGCCAAATTGCATCAAAGTCTTTAGAGCATTGCTAGGACATAGCTGTTCAAGTAGGATGGTTAACGGTACAAGCTCTGAATTCAGACTTCCTAGATTCACCTCCACGCCTATTTTCTAGCCTTGGACCATAGGCAAGTCATTTAACCTTTCTAAGATGCAGTTTCCTCCGTGTAAAATTCGAAGCGGTGCCTACCTCCTAGGGTCTTTGTAAGGCTCGAACATCTAACAGGGCGTCTGCTAATCTAGCAATACGCCACTCAATAAAAGTTGAGCAGGGAGCGTTATTACTAGTTTAAAATGTGACCAATAGTCGCATCGCAGGTTTTGAAGAGTGGGAAGAGGACATTTTGGCATGGAGGCCAACGCAGGTGTCAGAGGACGCGGGATCGAATCCCTGTGCTGTCACCAGGTGCGAACGCCGCTTGCTTCCTCAGCAAAAGGAGTTGAGGGTGAAAGGGTGAGAGCTGGCAAAAGTCCTAAACAGAACGGACGAGTCTGGGGACCTGGGGGGCATCGAGAGAAACCTCTGCGGCTCGGCCCCGACTGCAGGCCCGGGAGCGAAGGGGCGAGATCGGGCTGGGGTCCGGCCACCTGCCCACCCCGGCCACCGCCTCCCCGCGCGGCCGCCCGGCCCCCTCTGCCCACCACGGCCGCTCGGCCTCTTCCTACCAAGGCAGGTTCCTGATCTTGGCCGCCGCGGGCTGCTCCTGCTGCTTGAGCGCTGAGGTCTCCATGGCGGGGAGACGAAGGCGACCAGATCCGCTGAGAACGTCGCGTAACCCAAGGGCCTGCGCAGCGACCAGCCGCAACCTGACCCTGAGACCCTTGCACTCAGAGTTCGCGCGCAAAAACAACTCTCGCGAGAAGTGCCCATCCGTTTCCGACTTCCTCCCTCGGTCCCGCCCCCTAGCGTTGCCAGGGCGCCGGTTGCTAGGTTACCGGAGGCGCCAGCCGCCAGCCTGCTTCCAAGCTCCGCTCCTCCAGCCTGCTCCGAGCTCTCAGATACCTAGGCGCTTCCCGAGCAGGGATCGGGAGAGGCAGGGCGTCCTGTAGCCCTGCTCATCAGTACCTATTAAGATCTCACGGCCAAGGCCAATTCCTGCCATAGCCAAGCTTCAAACACTTAACGTTCAAACGAACAAAAGCTTCCGGGGCCCCCCAAAAAATATTTTTCTAAGTGAAAAACAGCACCGGAGTAACACGGATGGATCTTGAATATACATGCCCTTGTGAAAAAGGCTCGCGATACCTCTCGGCCTCAAAGCTGGGGGTGGGGTGAATATTTGGAAATGAAAACAACCCCAAATACACATAACTGCAACCTACCTATCTCCGGAATCCGTGCCCCTCACCCAACGAAATTTAGAGAATCAGCCTCCGGAAAACGACTCCAGAGAAAAACAAACAGAAACTTCCAGTTGGGTTCATCTGTGTCGCTGCAAGACTCTAGTTCATGAACACAGAGGACAGGGTTTCTGTGATTTGAGATACTGAGGAGAATCGGAATCAACATTTTAGGGTTTTTTTCTGAGTCGAGGAGATTCTGGACTATTTTCATTTTCTTCTTTTTTGTAGGTCTATATTTTCTTTCTTTCTTTTTTTTTGAATCTCACTCTGTCACCCAGGCAGGAGTGCACTGGCATAATTTTGGGTCACTACAATCTCTGCCTCAAGGTTCAAGCGACTCTGCCTCAGCCTCCCAAGTAGCTGGGACTACAGGCACGCGCCACCATGCCTGGCTAATTTTTGTGTTTTTAGTAGAGATGGGATTCGCCATGTTGGACAGGCTGGTCTTAAACTCCAGATGTCAAGTGATCCACCTGCCTCAGCCTCCCAAAGTGCTGGGGTTACAGGCATGAGCCCCCATGTCTGGCCTGGTCTGTATTTTCCAGCAATGAGCATGCAAAGCATCGATACTGAAGTCTTTTTTTTTTTTTTTTTTTTTTTTTAACGTGATGAGGAAGAGAAAAATCTTTAGAGGATTTCTGAGGCTGGCCTGGGGTCAGCAGTGTTCTGATTAGGAGGTAGCAGTACTCTTTGCATCGGATTACATTAATGTCACCTGCTTCAGGAACACAGCAGAGGGACAGTGGCAAGTATATGGTGGCAGTTACGGCTTCCCCCTATTCCCTGCCTAGGGACCCCAAAGAGGCGGTTCACCTAGGCTTGTGATGTAACAGTGCCCCTACTCTCTGCTTTCTACCAGGTCAACGTTAACACTGGGGGTTTTGATCATTAGCATGCCATTTAAAAATTTTCTTTCTTTCTTTTAAGATAAAACTGGTCTTATTCTTTCTTTACTTATTTACTTTAAGACAGAATTTCACTCTTTTCACCCAGCCTGGAGTGCAATGGCACAATATCGGCTCACTGCAATCTCCGCCTTCCAGGTTCAAGCAATTCTCCTGCCTCAGCCTCTTGAGTAGCTGGGATTACACGTGTGCACCACCATGTCCGGCTAATTTTTGTATTTTTAGTAGAGACAGGGGTTTCACAATGTTGGTTAGGTTGGTCTTGAACTCCTGACCTCATGATCAGCCCGCCTCGGCCTCCCAAAGTGCTGGGATTACAGATGTAAGCCACCAAGCCCTGCTGGTTTTATTCATTTTTAATCTCCTTGAAAGGAATCATAAGTGATTAACAAGTTTTTCTTAAATACTAAGGCTAAAAACAGCACATTTACAATTAATTTGCTGACACATGCTGTGGTGAGATATTGATGCCCTGAATTAAAGTCATAGAAACACATTAAATATTTCTCATGGATTGCCAAATTCTGGGGTCTTTGAATACTCCTGGGTTTTGTTTTTGAGAGACGGTCTTACTCTGTGGCCCAGGCTGGAGTGCAGTGGTGCGATCACGGCTCACTACAGTCTCAAACTCCTGGGATCAAGTGGTCTGCCTGCCTTGGGCCTCCTAAAGTGCTGCGATTATTGGCGTGAGCCACCACACCCAGCCCTCGTCTGTTTTTTAAAAGGCATAAAATACAAATGATGGGCGTATAAAGAAGAACAGGTGACACAACTTTAGAAAACAACTGATGCGATAACTAAGCAAAATTATGAAAGATTACTAAAGAAATAAATGGTGCCATACCCTCCTCTGCAACCATCTAATTGTTTAGAGGCAGGCTTTACACTGGGGTAAAATCCTAACAGGTGGCTGATATGGTTTGGCTCTGTGTCTCATCTCAAACTGTAATCCCCAGGTGTCGAGGGAGGAAGGTGAGTGGATCATGGGGGCGATTTCCCCCATGCTGTTCTTGTGATAGTGAGTTCTCACAAGATCTGATGGTTTAGTCGGTGCTGCATCCCCATCCCGCAGCCATGGCCTCCTACAAACTGGTGCTGATCCGGCACGGCGAGAGCGCTTGGAACTTGGAGAACCGCTTCAGCGGCTGTTATGACGCCGATCTGAGCCCAGCGGGCCACGAGGAGGGGAAGCGTGGCGGGCAGGCGCTGTGAGATGCTGGCTATGAGTTTGACATCTGCTTCACCTCAGTGCAGAAGAGAGCGATCCGGACCCTCTGGACAGTGCTAGATGCCATTGATCAGATGTGGCTGCCAGTAGTGAGGACTTGGCGCCTCAATGAGCGGCACTATGGGAGTCTAACTGGTCTCAATAAAGCAGAAACTGCTGCAAAGCACAGTGAGGCCCAGGTGAAGATCTGGAGGCGCTCCTATGATGTCCTACCACCTCCGATGGAGCCGACCATCCTTTCTACAGCAACATCAGTAAGGATTGCAGGTACGCAGACCTCACAGAAGATCAGTTACCCTCCTGTGAGAGTCTGAAGGACACGATTGCTGGAGCTCTGCCCTTCTGGAATGAAGAAATAGTTCCCCAGATCAAGGAGGGGAAACGGGTACTGATTGCAGCCCATGGCAACAGCCTCCGGGGCATTGTCAAGCATCTGGAGGGGCTCTCTGAAGAGGCTATCATGGAGCTGAACTTGCCGACTGGTATTCCAGTCTATGAATTGGACAAGAATTTGAAACCCATCAAGTCCACGCAGTTCCTGGGGGATGAAGAGACCGTGCGTAAAGCCATGGAAGCTGTGGCTGCCCAGGGGAAGGCCAAGAAGTGAAGGCCAGCGGGCACGCTGCTGGCCCCAGGAGCACCCTCCCTGCCTGTTGCATCCCTCTACCCCTCCCTCCTGCACATGTCACACTGACCACATCTGTAGACATCCTGAGTTGTAGCTGCAGATGGGGACTGGTGGCTTCCATTTTCATTTTAGCCATTTTGTCTCCTGTACCCACTCCCTTCATAAATGCTAGTCAGAATTGCACTTCTAGGGCACAGGTTCTCAGTCCAAGCTGTAGAAAGGCTCCCCTTATCCAAGAGAGTTGAAAGGTAGTGACGGGCTTTTGCAAGTGCATTGTTTACCAAAGACTTGAAGGGAGGAACATGCTAAGCTGTGATCAATGAAGAGAACAAGAGAGGCTGTCTACCCCCAGGAGACTGCTGGTTGGCAGTCAGGCCACTGCCTGGGGGCTCTAGTCATTCAGTGGCAGATGAATGCAACCTGCATGGTGATATGACAACTGTTTGCTCCCTGACCCCAGAGAAGCTGGCTCTAGAAGGTTGGGATGAATCCTGAATTTAGTTTAGGTGTTACATTTACTTTTATATAAAAAAAGTATAGTATATATAAATAGTACAAAACAATAACCCTTTTGGGGTTTCTTGTGGCGGTTGAAACAGTACCACATATGGTCATCAGAATATAAAGCATTCCTCATATCAATATGGGATCAGCTCCTTGACCTCTGAGGGGCAGGAGTGCTTCCTGCTATGTGTTTCTGAATCCCTCCCCATCTTGTTTTGTAGCAGTGAAATGCCTCTTGGTCCTGTCCAAGTGTCTCACTGATTTCTGAATCATGCTCTAGTTGCTTGGCTCTGCCACATGGGTCCAGTGCTCCTTTGAGCATAACTGTACTAAATCCTTTTTCCAGATCAGTATAATAAATGAGTGATGTGCAATAGTTAAAAAAAAAATCTGATGATCTGATAAGGGGCTCTTTTTTTTAATGCTCGAATTTTTTTTTAATTGCATTTTAGGTTCTGGGGTACATGTGAAGAACATGCAAGATTGTTGCATAGGTACACACGTGGCAGTGTGATTTGCTGCCTTCCTCCCTGTCTCCTACATCTGGCATTTCTCCCCATGCTGTCTCTCCCCAACTCCCCACCCCCCGCTGTCCCTCCCCTATTTCCCCTCAATAGACCCCAGTGTGTAGTGCTCCCCTCCCTGTGTCCATGTGTTCTCATTGTTCAACACCCACCTATGAGTGAGAACATGCGGTGTTTGATTTTCTGCTCTTGTGTCAGTTTGCTGAGAATGATGGTTTCCAGGTTCATCCATGTCCCTACAAAGGACACGAACTCATTGTTTTTTATGGCTGCATAATATTCCATGGTGTATAGGTGCCACATTTTCCCTGTCCAGTCTATCATCGATAGGCATTTGGGTTGATTCCAGGTCTTTGCTATTGTAAACAGTGCTGTAATGAACATTCGTGTGCATGTGTCCTTGTAGTAGAATGATTTATAATCCTTTGGATATATACCCAGTAATGGGATTGCTGGGTCAAATAGAATTTCTATTTCTAGGTCCTTGAGGAATCACCTCACTGTCTTCCACAATGGTTGAACTAATTTACACTCCCACCAACAGTGTAAAAGTGTTCCTATTTCTCCACATCCTCTCCAGCATCTGTTGTCTCTAGATTTTTTAATGATTGCCCTTCTAACTGGTGTGAGATGGTATCTCAATGTAGTTTTGATTTGCATTTCTCTGATGACCAGTGATGATGAGCATTTTTTCATATGTTCATTGGCCTCATGTATGTCTTCTTTTGTAAAGTGTCTGTTCATATCCTTTGCCCACTTTTGGATGGGCTTGTTTGTTTTTTTGCTTGTAAATCTGTTTTAGTTCTTTGTAAATTCTGGATATCAGCCCTTTGTCAGATGGGTAAACTGCAAAAATTTTTTCCCATTCTGTTGGTTGCTGATTCACTCTAATGACTGTTTCTTTTGCTGTGCAGAAGCTGTGGAGTAAGGGGCTCTTCCTACTTTGCTCTTTCATCTCTCTCCCGCTACCTTGTGAAGAAGGTGCCTGCTTCCCCTTCGCCTTCCACCATGCTTGTAAGTTTCCTGAGGCCTGCCAGTCATGTGGAACTGTAGGTCAATCGAATCTCTTTTCTTTATAAATTATCCAGTCTCGGGTATTTCTTTGTAGCAGTGTGAAAATGGACTAATAGAGTGGTCTTTGAAACTAAAGGAAAAGTCATCAAGAAAGTGTTGCTTGGGGAGTCAGAAGACCTGCCTCAAATCAGTTCAACTCTAAAAATCTTTACACAGCCTATGGAGAGAAACCTAAGCAAGTCCCTGAATCCTCAAGTGTTCCAGGAAAATGGAAAGAATTACAAAGGCTAAAGGATTGTTAGAATCAGTGCAGTCAACGTGTTGACCAAAGCATTCCTACGTGCCAGGAAAATGGTGAGTTGGAATGTTTTTGCTTCTCATAAGGCAATTTAAGTCACAAGGCAAGGGCAACACTTTGAAGATGGCCATGTGGACTCTGGATCCTCCTCTTCGTGTGCATGATTGGTTCTCTCTTTAGCGTTTCTGCTTCCGGCCAAGCATTAGGCACCCTTGGGGTGGCGTGCCACTTTTTCCACTTAGTCTTGGGCAGGCTGCTTCTCTCCTTATCCATAACATCTACTCAAAGATGGTTGTGAGGATTAAATGAAAGAACAAACGTGCAGCATCCAACACGTTGTCACCCTACTCTCCCCTTCCCTTCTAGCAGTCTCCACCCAAACTGTTCTGGTTTCAGATTTGTCCTCTCAAACAAAACCCAAAGGATTGGCTAGTGGAACTGTGCCATAACCTGGCTTTATTGATAGTAAGAGCCATCCTTGTCATCATGGTAAGAGCCATTTATGGGAAGAGCCATCCTTCTAAGGACCTTTGCATTAGAAGCACGATGCTGCCACCTCCTTGAGCTGAAAGGTTCAAACAAAACCAGAACAACTTCTCATAAAACTCTGTGTTCATCTGCTGTTCTGTTAACTTGGAATGTAGAATTCTCCTGTATTGACATTAGATACTGCATTGCCAAGTCCTCTCTTGTGTGCCTCCCCAGTGGAGTGTAAGCTTGTTGAGAGGAGAACCGATGACTTCCTCACCACTGTACTTCTGGTGCCTGAAATACTACCTGGCTTAAAGGAAGCACTCAATTCATAACTGTTTGATGAATGGCTGAATGAAAATGGCTCATATCCATTAGGCAGTTACTATGGCCGAGACATTGTTCTAAGCACTTTACATTTATTATGCCCACTCAGTTGCTGAAGGAAGCCGTCACTATCACTGGCCCCATTCTGTAGATACATTAGGTAACTGGCTGAGGTTCTCACTCGCAAGGGGCAGAACTGGATCTTGCTAATACAGTCTGGATCTATATAGCCCAGGCCGGAACAACAGCATCGACAGCAGCCCTTGGGAACTTGTTAGAAATCCTAATTATTCTTCCCTCCTTCCCTCCACCTCCAACCCAGGAAACCTTAAACCTTACATGTAGAGCCCAGCCATCTGTGTTATAACAAGCCCTTGAGGGGATTCTGAAGTGCTCGGGTTTGAGAGCCATCTCACTATATTTTCCTTCTTCTCCATCCTCAAGCATTCCAGGACTTTGATTTCCTGTTTATTTACCTATTTGAGACAGGGGTCTCACTCTGTCATCCAGGCTCACCCAGGCTGGAGTGCAGTGACACCATTTCAGCTCACTGCCAGCCTCCACCTCCAGGGCTCAAGTGATCCTCTCACCTCAGCCTCCCTAGTAGCTGGGACTACAGGCACATGCCACGATGCCTGGCTAGTTTTTGTATTTTTGTAGAGACAGGGTTTTGCTATGTTGCCCAGGCTGGTCTTGAATACCTGGGCTCAAGCAATCTACCCACCTTGACCTCCCAAAGTGGCTCATGATGGGATTACACACTGTGCCCGGCCCCAGGACTCCACTTTCTAAGAAAAACAATGGATGCTGTCTAAAAATAAAATTTTATCAAATTGAATTTAATGATCTCATTGTCTTTTATTTTCAATTCATGAATTGGGCAGCATCCCATCTGTAGAATAGAAAGGTACTCCAGCAAGCTGAGCAGAGGGATGGGTTTTGTATGCAGAAGAACTAAAAAAGGCAGAAACACAGACCAAAAAGTGCACTGATCATTTCAAAGTGATTTTCCTTATAAGATTAAAGTAGAAGAGATATTCTTATTTTACTTGTTCGGCTTGACTGGACCCTTTTGGATTGGTTGCTGTAAATCTCCTGGTTTTTGAAAAAAACTGGCCTTTTTTTTTTTTTCCTGAGATGGAGTCTCACTTTGTCATCCAGGCTGGAGTGCAGTGGTGTGATCTCGGCTCACTGCAGCCTCTACCTCCTGGGTTCAAGCGATTCTCCTGCCTCAGCCTCCCTAGTAGCTGGGATTACAGGAGCCTGCCACCTTGCCCAGCTAATTTTTGTATTTTTAGTAGAGAGTGTTTCACCATGTTGGCTAGACTGGTCTTGAACTCCTGACCTCAAGTGGTCCACCTGCCTCGGCCTCCCAAAGTGCTGGGATTACAGGCATAAGCCACCATGCCTGGTCAAAAACTGGCCCATTTTAAAGTTCCGTTTGATTGCATGACAGTCAGCATAGGTGGCTCCATTCTGGTTTGGTCTGGTCTATCAAGGGCTAGTGCAGGAACTTAGTCCAATGCTTCTCATAAGTTTTATTTAATTTTTAATTTTTATTTTCTGAAAACATGTCAGGTTCCTAACATAAATTTTGTTTAACAGTACTCACATGGCCGGGCGCGGTGGCTCAAACCTGTAATCCCAGCACTTTGGGAGGCCGAGGTGGGTGGATCACGAGGTCGAGAGATCGAGACCATCCTGGTCAACGTGGTGAAACCCCGTCTCTACTAAAAATACAAAAAATTAGCTGGGCATGGTGGTGCGTGCCTGTAGTCCCAGCTACTCAGGAGGCTGAGGCAGGAGAATTGCTTGAACCCAGGAGGCGGAGGTTGCGGTGA